GTGCTTTTCCAATTCCCTCCCCCGTCCCACCGGGTGGGGGGGAGTAAGCGAGCGGCTGCGTGGTGCTCAGTTGCCGACTGAGGTTAAACCACGACACATATTTAAGAAAGGGTAAAAACCACTGTGCAGCAGCTGTGAGAGAGGAGTGAGAACAAGTGAGAGAAACATCCCTGCAGTAACCAAGGTCAGTGAAGAAGGAAGGGGAGGAGGTGCTCTAGGAGCAGAGATTCCCCTGCAGCCCGTGGTGAAGACCATAGTGAGGCAGGTTGTCCCCTTGCAGCCCATGGAGGGTAATGGTGGAGCAGATACCCACCTGCAGCCCATGGAGGGATCCCATGCCAGAGCAGATGGAGATGCCTTGATGGAAGTTGTAGCCTGTGGAGAGCCCATGCTGGAGCAGGCTCCTGGCAAGAGCTGTGGCCTGTGGAGAGGAGCCTGCACAGGAGCGGGCTTTCTGGCAGGACATATGGCCCATGGGGAGCAGCAGAGATGAAGTGTTATGAACTGACCACAACCCCCATTCCTTATGCCCCTGTGCTGCTTGGCAGGGAGGAGGTAGAAGATTTGGGAGTAAAGTTGAGTCAAATTTTGAAGCTGTTATCGCCAATTAAATTGTATGATAGAGGAATTAAAATCTTAACCACTATACTTCTGTATTGCCCTGTGAAATAATTAATGAATTTCATGGGTTTAACATGTTTTTTATTTTAGCTGTGTTACTAGCTTTTTCCTCCACCTATAAGCACAAAAGGAGCAAGAATAGTGGATGACAGAATACTTTTCATGTTTACAAAGTCCTTCTCACAGTTTCGCAAACTCCAGAAAGTCAATTACAAGTGTCATTGGAGGGAATATGTACAGCGTAGTTTAATTAGAAGAGAGGACTGGGAGAACCAACAGGGATCTTTCCAGTTAGATGAGTCAGCACAAGTAGAAGAGTGACTCTCAGCTGTGTTCATTTGCAGCTGAAATAATGAACAGAAAAATAAATGAACAGGCAAAAGATCAAATATAGTGAAGAGCAAACTTACCTGTTTTCAAATCCAAGATGGCAATTTTGGATTGCATTTCCAGGTGTGTATGGAGTAAATGATGCTTTGAGAAAGAGAACAGTCTCAGATTCATAGGTCACAGCTGGGAGTTGGACTACCTGGGAGGAGACTAATGATTGAAGTAGTAGTCTTTTAGCTCTGTGTTGGCTTTCAACGTTAAATACATGAAGATACTTTTCCAGAGGATCTGCTGCAGATTAAACAATTAAGTACCATATTGTTGTACTTTGAGTACAGTACTACTTCTAGAAATACCCGTTAACTTTCTTTAAATAAATAAATAAATAGAACAGTATATAAACATTTGGAAAAAAATTTGAATACAGTTTTCATTACAGTTTTCTGTAAAGAAAATGAATATACTAGTTCCTAAAGATTCTGTATCCTGGATATGATACATGACTAATATAGGAGTGTGTCAGACTTGTATAAAAGGTATTGTCCCAGCACATGGAATAGTTTCTCTGTCCCCAAAATAAGATTACAGTAGATTTGAATTCTGTGTGAGACTTCACATTCTTTCAGTTTTGATGTGTTGATGCACTACTGAGTATGTTCATGTTCTGTTTGAGAGAAAATGCCAACAAGATGAAATCATTGCCCATTTTAGTTGGTGATTCCTGTGGAAAATTCCAAAATTCAGAGAATTATCCTTGCTTCCTCGTCAACACTGTTTTGGTTTGTACATTGATTTCTAACATCAAATACTTTGAAAGTGCTACTGCTAGGCCAGTAGAGAACTTTGCTGTAATTTTTTAAATAGCTACTACTGTGGTCAGTTACAAGTGATAAGAGCACACAATAGACTTTTTGATACTGTAAATCACTGTTGTTGGCTGAAGTACTGTAACCAACAGAATTAGTAGTGTATAATTTTCCCTTGTGAACTTTTAGGTTTCATGCTTTATGGCGGTTTTATAGAATTTGAAGATTAAATTGCAATTCAATTTCATGAATCAAAATAAAAAACCCCATGTAAACAATGTCAAGAAAGTCAATATGGCCTCTTTTTATAAAAAGAAAAATGTCTAAAGATACATAAAAATGAACTGATATTCATCCCTCTAAGACCAAGTTAAAATTTGAAACCAAGTCAAGAAAAATTAATATTCCAACATCAGTGAAAATTTTTTTAGGATGATTTTTGGGGTAGTTGCTCAGCTCTCCAATTGATTTTCATAAAGAAATTATTCAAACAATAGCAGTGGAGACAAAAAATCCTTTACCCTGGTTTTCTCTGTACGTAGTGGTTACATGAAAACAATTTTACATAGCAACTTTGTTTTAAAAATATATATTAGTAATTTTCTTTTCTTGAATATCTCTATATAGAAAACCATAACAAAATGAGTTGAGTGGAGTGATTGTCGACCAAATATTCAGAAACATTGCTGTGTATTTAAATAATATCTTTATTTAAAAAGATTGATCGCTTTCACATTAAAGTGGAGATATCTTTCTCTTTCTCATTATTACAAACTATAGTCTATATTATAGAGCTGCAGTCCAAAGCTAAAAAATCCAGTTAGAGTTAATACATTCAAACAAATACATGCAAATACCCTGCCATTTTAGCTATATAGCTTGTGTGTTAGATTTTGATTCATGATATTAACTGTAACCTTGGGTTCAGAACAGTCATGACTCCACTGAAATAGACTTTTGAGTTCTTATGCTGCTGGAAGATATTATTCTGAACTTCTAAAGGTCAAATTCTTATCCTGTCACTGATTTGGGTCTAAATTTTCATATTTCCTACATTATTTGTGATAAAATTGTAAATTTATGAGAAAAAAATCACCTTAAAAAAATCTCTAGCGTGGCACATTTTGGCATTTAAGATGATAGCCTTTTAAAGCTACTTGGACTTATGCAATAAAGATGTAACTTCAGGGGCACTAGATTAGCTAGTAGAGAGCAATTGATGCAGTAATAGCTATAGGGTATACTGTTAGAGACAGAGACTCGAAGAAGGACTATACAATGTGATGATTTTCTACTTAACTGTAGAAGCAGACCTAGGAAATGTAAAAACAAGACACAAACACCTTAAGAAAACATGGCAAAATACATGAGTTAAGTAATTGAAGGAAAAGAAACTTTTTTTTCCACAAACTCATACTTTTATATGGTCTCTTCTTCAGGATAACTACACGTTTGCACAGCCGGGAATTCAAAAGAAAGTGAAAATGTTGGAAGAACTTGTTAGTCGGATCGATGGTAAGTCTTAAAAGCTAACCTAATTTCTAACTGGTGTTTCATTGAAAGTGTTTAGTTAAAATCTTTGCAAGAAGTCAAGCCAACATCACTGCAGATACCTACAATGGTGGGGTTACATTGCCTTCCTCAGATGAGGTGTCATACTCAATCAATTTGTGGCACACTGGCCTTTGCAAGATCACTGTCGTGTATCATTTAAAAGAAAACCACTAGAGCATGAGCCTCTTCCATTACTTTTTATTAAGGCAATATAATCAAAATTCAATGGCAATTTCTTTGCAGCAGAGTAATGACCACATACAAAATGCAGCCAGTATTCATTTCACATTAAGCTCAATGATTGTTGTAATTCGGGCAAGTCACAGTGGTTGTTTATGGTTGTCCTTCAGCACTATGTTTTGTGCCTTTGTGCATCATTTTGCTATCTGGAATGCCTGAATAATTTCTCTGTGGAATCCAATTAATTATGAACTCGGGAAATAACATCTTTAATATTATAGATAAATTACAGCGTGTGCAGGGGTAATTTTAGATTATGCTTTCATGTTTTAGCAGGGCACTTTGAAATATTTTCTACCTCCATCCTTAAAATAATTCCCTTCATGAAATGCTGACTGTCGTATTGCTAGAACAGAGTTTAATTAAATGAAATGCAAGAGATAATGCTTGCCCATTCTAAACATACTCTCTTGATAGTTTGTTAAATTAATGAACAGAGTATTAACAAAATGTTGCCAAGCAGAACCAGGCATATATTTGCCACACTTGCCTGTCAATGATGAGATAGAAAAAATGTTTCTTGTGTAGCTTAATATTTGATAATCTTCTTGGAAAGATTAATTCCATCTTTTCATTACATGTACTGTGAGCTTTTTTTGTGCCAGTGCTTACCATAGCAGATTTTGGGTTGGCCTGCACATATTTACATCCTGAATATTTGATAAAGCTCTTTGTGCTCTTTTAGGATGTTAAAGTATTTTTGATGATCGAAAACTAAGGGCAGGGAGAACAATGTTTATGTAATATTACAGTATAAATGTAAGTGTATGTAAAACTTTTTGTTGTAGATGCATTTTTTGTTTAAAATGTAAATGTATATGAAAAATATAAGGGGATACATTTGTATATAGAGTAACAAAATATATTAAAAATATTTTTAAAGCAGTGTATTTTGTTACTTCAAAAATAATCTAAGTGCTTGCAGTGTGACTTTTTATGTCATTTTATGCTTATATCAATATTGGTGTTTACATTTCAATTATTTATAGAAGCAAATGATTGTATATTAAATGAAGTGCATAATTACAATGCCTATAAATAGACTTCCTGAACTTGGTCAATGAGCATTTATATAAATAAATTCTTTAACCAAGTTTTTAAAATGAAAAATGCTGTTCTGATAATCAACCTTTTTGTTTTGAAAATTTTTATTAAACAACATAATACAATAAATTATTGTTTAGTTTCTAAGAAAGAAGGAAATGCTGAAGGCTTATTTGTACCTTCAATGCTTTAGGGATATACTTAAATAACTTTTCTCAATGGTTAGGTTTGGGAAGCATTATTTTTAAGGCTTTACACTTAAAAAAAAAAAAAAGACAAAACCAGACAGACAGTTGTAGCAAATAAATGTATTTTCTTAAACTGTCCTTTACCAGTCTTTGTAACTGAAAGTAAAGTGTGGGTTCCTGATTTTTTATCTGATTTAAAATAATTTTGTGAGGTCTTTATAGGACTGTATTTAATAGGACATTGTTGAAGTAGTTCCGTATCAAAAACTGTAATTATTTATCTTTCTAAATGTGAATCCAGTTTTCTCTTCAACCTCTGCTCTCGCCTCTCTTGATCTAAGGGGACAGGGCCAACTTATATCAGGCTGTGTAGAGTCTTACCCTGCTGAGTTTTGAGTAACTCCAGGGATGGAGGTTCTGCAACCTCCTTGGGTAAGACTGTTCAAGGGTTTGACTACAGTCATTGTGATTTATTTTTTTTAATATAAATAATTAGAATTTTTGTTTATGGAACTGATGTGTACTGACTTTTATTTTACCTCTGTATACCTCTGAGAAGAATCTGGCTCCATCTTCTCTACACCCTCCCATTAAGTAGTTGCAGCTGTTCATAGACTTTTCTTTTTAAGGTTGAATAAACTCAGTTCTGTCAGCCTCCTTTCATGTGTACAGTGCTCCAGCTTCCTAACTACCTCGGTTGCCCTCCACTGGACTTGTTCTTGTGTGTTAGTGTCCCAGAATTGGACATAATGCTGCAGACATGGTCTCACAAGTGGTGAATACAGAGGAAGAATCGCTTCTCCTGACCTCTTGGCTTCTATCTTGCTTAGAAAGCCCAGAATACAGTTGACCTTCCTTTCTGCAAGGACACAGTGCTGACTTGGGTACAGCCTGTTGTCCACCAGGACCCCCAAGTCCTTCTTGGCAGAGCTGCTTTCCAGCCAGCTGGTGCCCAGTCAGTACTGTTGCATGAGACTATTCCATCCCAGATACAGGATGTTTGCCTCTCCTGAACGCCAGAAGATTTCTGTCAGACATTCCTTCAGCCTGCCAAGGTCCCTCCAAATAGTAGCCCTGACTTTCAACATGTCAGCCATTCCTCCCAATCTGGTATCAGCCACAAACACAGAGAGTTCGCTCTATGCCATCAGTAGTTGTTAATAAAGGTGTTGCACAGTACTGGCCCCAGTATTGATCCCTGTGAGGGACACCATTAGTAGTTAGCTGTCAACTGGGCTTTGTACTGCTGATCACAACCCTTATAATACAGTGGTCCAGTTAAAGTTTTGGATAGTAAAAGATATGCATCTTTCAAAATTCTTAGGGCTGTTTCTTTTTGTCTAGAAGACTGTGCACTCAGTTACTTTCTTTTGCCAGAAAAATACACCAAAGTACACGTAAGATTGAATTAAAGTTTTAGTTGTTAGACAGGCAATGGTGGATGTGTACCGCTGTCACTTCATAAACTTTTGGATGCCTCAGGTAAGGGATCCTGACCTGGTTGGCTTTTTGATGGAGTCACGACATAGTTTGATTAAATTATATGTTATTGTGCTTTACTCTTCTCAATTTCTTTTTGCTTCTGTCTTTTTATCTTTTTACTGGGTCTGCTATGCTGTAGCTAAAGGGAACTGTATGGTTGATATGAATTCAGTAACTTTGTTTCTACAAAAGAAATCTCACGATCTATATTTACTGTAAATATCCTAAGTGCTAATTAAGGTTATTGTAGAAGAAAATAATATTCCTGTTGCTACTGTGTCACATGATTTTTTTGATGCTGGGTAACTCCGTGGTGAAGAGAATCTTAACATAATAAGTAGCTGTGCGAGTGGAAGAAGCTTGTATGGCTTGTTTGCTGTAATGGGTTACCCATGTATGAAAAGTGATGCTCGCCCTTCGGAGAGTGTTAATGCATTACGTTAGTGATTCAAGCAACCTTCATTAACCCAGCCTTATGGATCACAATTCCTGGCAAAGTAACTGTCCTTGTGTGTATACTGCAGAACATTGCAGTAGACTTCAAACAGCCAAGCTACTCTTAATTTAATCATAATCTCAGTCTGCTTAAACTCCAGAAAATAATTTTGATGAATCATGTGTTTAATGAAATTTTTGAGTTTGTTAATAGAACGTTGTTATAGACCAGATGGAATCTGAAGATAAAACATTATTCAATCTCATTTATCTCATTGTCATTATCATTCAGATTGTTCTAGGTATTATACAAAAATATTGAGAAGGAGGATCAATAGATGACTCAATAATATAAGTAATCTGTTATAACTAATTATCTTTTCTGTTTCCTGTAATGTCAGTAGGGCTTTTCTGCTCTAAATTATGAACTATCTCTCATGGTTTGTAAAAGGTCACACTCACGTGGCATGCAGTCTTCCACTTTTGCTTCATTTAGGTTTGGAGGCAAAGAAACGTGGCGTAGGAATGCCAAAATCAATTCAGGATTTGTGTTTCCAGAATTTACTGATGTTTAGCATTTGGCTGGTTTCATGCTTGGGAGAGTCTGAGATTCTTCAGCTTACTGTAAGACATCTGGTAATTACATTAGAGTTTGAGGTAGCCATTTGGAGAAGGTTGAGCATTTGTAGATAACAGTAGTCTTGGGTTTTCTTAAACATTGATAAAAGACGTTAAAATTGCATGGCATTCTCTCTAAATTAGCAAGAAGGAAGTTCTAGGAAAAAAATAGCCTATTATAATGCTAAATTTATTTTTTATTTATGTCGGCTTCTCATTAGCATTGCAATAAACTATAAAGGCAGTATTGCCAACTCAACTTAGTATAAATATTCTGCATCTTCTGTGAGGGTAAGCTTGGGAAGATTTTTTTCTACATCTTTTATAGAACAACTCCTAGGGTTTGTGTCTGTGTTCTGCACGCCCTGATCTGGGCTTATGTTTTCTTGTAGTTAAATAAATTCTGTGTTATAAGTGTTCCAGATTCTTCCACCAGTAACCACCAATCTTATTGTAGAATTGACGCTTGAATCTTAGTAACAAGAAATGGAAAAATAAAAATGCAGAAAATTATTAAAAAAAATAAGAAAGAAAAAAGCTTTTACTGTTGCTGTATATATCCCCCCCCCCTTTCTTTTGAAAATGGAAGTAATGGAAAAATACCTAAGAACATAAAAAGTGTGCTGCATTTTGACTTTTCCATAAGGAAGTTAATTTAGAATTCAGCAACAATTTTCAAAGGTTCATTAATATTTCAGTCTTTCTGCTGTGTACACTGTGAATGCATCTTCTGGCCATCTGTTTTGTAAAAAAAAAAAAATCACAAATTTTTCAAGAGAAAGGAAGGTATTTTTAGTGCAAAATTAAAGTTGTTACATCCAAATTATTTTAAAGAATGATTGTTTTAATAAATACTACATAGTATTGTTTGGGAAAATATTTTTACTTACGCCTAGGTGCAGTTAAAATGTTCTTTCACCTTTTAAAACCATGTTATACTGAGGATTTTACAAG